TATATATATATATATATATTATGGCATTATTGGAATCAGTGAAATCTTGTAAGATGTGGGTGTTTCATGAGAGACTGTGGGAAATCCCCTAGAATTTTAGGCTTTATGCTGCTGTTGGATACCTCTTCAGTCTGATTGAATTAGTTCCTGTTTGCCATTTCTTAACTTGACTCTATTCTAATTTAAAAATATTTTTCTGACTATATTTGAATTTCAGTCCACCATTACTACTATGAGTTATCTCACCCTTTCATTCTGATTTGTCTCTTTGACTTTTTTTTCCTCCTCCAGATTTCACTTCCTATATTAGTGAGATTTCCTGGTTTTGATTACAGACTAATTCCAAATTACTTTGTGCTTACCTAGTCTCTTTATTCAGCAAACTATCACAGACACTTTTTGGTTATATGCTTATAGGATATATCCTATGATAATGTCCATGGTACAATTTCCTGAGTTTCAGTCTATCATCTAATCTAGGAGTGAGCTACTTTGGCCTGAGGACTGCATCAAACTGAGGCTACTCCCCAAAAGTGGCCAGGGATACAGCCTATTTTACAAGGAACTTTAGATATTTTAAGTGGCAAAATGTGAGTGTATACTGGTGTGATTTTAACAGCCCCAGGGCTACATCTTTACACCCCTGATTTAACTCAATTTAACTGTGACAGAAATAAAGCACATATCACCATAAAGACAGGAAAAAAGTTAACAGTGAGGTGTTACACTGTTTAACAATTAAGTTGGAACAGATGTTGGTTTCTTGGGGCAAAAATGAAATATACTGTACATGTTACTATGTGTACGTCATGGAGTATAAGTATGTGATTGCAACACTGGAGTTCTTCAATCTTGGTTTTTCAAATGCAAACATTTCATTATCCTACTAGGTTATCATTCCTGCATCATCAGTGCAGGAGTTTTGAAGAAGTGAGGTTGCCAGGGGTAATGTACCCTTCTGTCTTGCCTGCTTTGCCTGTGTGTGGAGTGCTGTGCTTCTAAGATTCTCTTGCATTTGAAATCTTAGAACAAGCCAGATAAAAAATGCAAGAAAATTCCTAGAAGCATGGCATTCCCACCAAGCACCAAGCACCAGACATATAGACTTACACCCCATCTATGAACCTATAAAAATCTATGACCAAAGGCCCAAAATTAGCACATCAACTCAATATGCAACAACATTCCCCTGATCATAGAACAATCATCCAACCCCTAGATAAACTAAAGCCATCTCCTTATCAGCCTAGCAACCATGAACCAACTACAATTTGACTACCACAGGAAAAGAACAATGTCTTCCAAGAAGCCATCCCTTCACACAAAAATCAACACAGGAAGTAATCAACATGCAGACAAGACAAAGCCAACACCTTATCAGCCAGATAACCTCTCAACAAGGATGTTGTGAAACAATATCCAAAGGATCACCTACATAAGGGAAGGTATTTCTGACTGAAAACCAAATCAGCTATTGTCTGAATGTATCTTGAAGGAATGGAACAGTGGTGTTATTAAATAATACTGCAATTTTCTAAAGTACAATTTAAACTTTAGTTGGTCATTTTTCTAATAGAGAAAACAAATGGGGGAGCAATGCAAAAAAAGAAATAGCATTGTGGGAGAAATAGAGAGGATTTTTGTTGCTTTTGTGGCCTGTTTTGGAAAGCACAGAGAAACTGGGGGTTTCTGGGATCTGGAAGACTGCTACAGTGTCTCAGGCTTAAAAGTTAGGGATCCGGGGACTGTGTCAAAGAAAACACATTATACAGTAGTTAGGAAGATATTTTCAGCTGTATCAAAAGATTCGCATCAGCAGTACAGTGTATTCAGGTGTGTATATGTGTATGTGTGTGTATTGCAAGATCGATGGGTCCGCCAAATCATTTTGTTGCTGACTCATTCCTTTCTAAAACAGCATCTGGCAGAGAAAACAAGAGAAGGCAAGGAGTCCTGAATTTTTCATATGAACAGTTGCAGCACTGTGAACTTGCTTGTCTCTCTAGGTAAATTAATGTAGAGAATTAAACATTAGAGTGCAGACCATATCCCTGAAGACTGATTAGAGATGCACAGAGGACTGTACCTCTCCCTTTTTCCTCTTTTTTTACACATATTTGCCTCTTACCATGATTCTCATTATGAATCTCACAAATAAATGAATGTAATATGCTATTTAAAAATCATTATTTATTTAAGTTCATTATAGCTGCCCATTTGTAAGCCACCCACAAAACAATAAAAACATGCATCCCCACAGGTTGTGAATGGACCAAATACAAAATTATTGTAAATGATCCACTCCTTTTAATATAAATCCATTCTGAGTTTATAGTTTGGAAGAACTAAGCATTATTTAAAGAAAACACAGAAGGCAACACAAACGCTAATGGACTATTGGAAAACCCTCTTTGAAAAAAAAACCCAAAACCTCTCCTCAAAGGTTGAATGGTTTAATTTTTAACATAGCTGACTGTCAACTTGACAAATAGTATTACTAGCAAGAAGCAACCAGATTTTGATGTGACATGCCCAGGAGTCATTGTTTGAAATGTTTACTTCATAAGGGCAACAGAGCCTTGAAGAAGAGTAAATAAAGAGACAGCTTGTAATACAGGAGGGCAGTAAGAGGGAGGGAATAGTTTCTACTAACCACGCTGTGACAGGTACATCTTTTCATGCAAAGATGTTTTGAACATTACCATCCATAAACCAGTAAAGCACAATCTTTTATGAAAAAGCAGAGATGAAGGGGAAAAAATCTTTATAACCATAACAACAAAATAGAAAGTAAATGGCTAATACAATCTCCACATGCATTCATTGAAACACTTCCAGGGCTAAATAAGTCCATAAAACAGACTGTTTTGTTATAGGAAACTGACTATAAAATGGGAGAGAAAACATTATAGTAAGTAAAATTTTAATGTAGACTATCAGTTTGACCTCCACTAGCGGATACAAGTTCAAATAAATGTAGAAGAACAAACAGTAATAGCAACCTTAATTGAGAAGTTCAGTATATCTGGTTACTTTACTGCATATGGCTTATAGGCCTAATCCAAACCCTTGTCTTTTAGCAAAGAATAAGGAGAAGATTCCATGGACTTTAGTTCAGTTCCTGGTGAACACACATAGAACCCCTAGCAAATCCCAGAAGTGATTGCCTTCTTCCAGTCTAAAATATAACCCTAGAATTTCCTAATGCTGTCCCATTCAAGTATACTAACCAAATCTGCCTATGTAGTTTTTTCTGAGGTCAGCTAAGATCAGCTCAGTGCTAAGTAATGTAAAGCAGTCAATCTGTGTTTGTTTGTTTAGTGTTTATACTCTGAATATTCTTTCTGGGAATGATCAGGGAACTTCTATTACAGCATTTATTTTTCTCGTTTAAGCATTAAGCCAGACAGCAAGAGAACTTCTGTCCCCTTAACAGAGCATAACAGAAAATTTGTCTCTTGTAACATGATATTTTGGGGGCACCTACACTGTATGGTAGAATTTCCCAGAGAAGGAATGCTGAAAATTATTATAAAGAATTGCCACATAGCAATGGAGTATTATATATACATAATATATATATTTTCAAATTTGTCACCGCCCATCTCGCTGCAGAGCGATAGCAGATTTCCATTAAGTCATGGAAACGGTACAGGTAAAAGCAGCAAAATTAAATGCAAGAAGGTATATATTGGGGGCAACAATCTTATGCTCAGAAGATATTCAGTCTGGAAGTGGTTACATTTCTAGTGTTATAATAAAAAATTGTTACAAGCCATGTCATGTTAAATTTTTGGGAAGCTTCAGCCATTTTCAAGCCATCCAAATGAAGCATGATAATTATCAGCTATGGTTCTTAGTTTTCAATAAAAACTCACACTTAGAGGAACCCAAATGTAATGTTGTCTTACAATTCCTTGTGCTTGTGCTCCCTCTCTCTCTCTCTTCTGTATTCTAAGCCACAGTGGCTAAGGAAAGGCCTCAAGACCACCAACTAAGCCCCTCTGAGACATTTGACATGCATTAGACAATAACAAGCATCGTGATATCATGTCAGATAGTAAAAAATGAAGGCAGAGAAACCTAGTACTTTTGAAAACTACATAATGTATTGATGCACTATAGCATACTTTTATGAAACTCTCATAATGCTCAGGATTGGACAAGTAATTACTGCTGTCAGGCTGAAGACATAATACAGCTTAGTCTAGTGCCTAAACTGCTGTTCAATTATTGTGTTGCTGAGCAGAGCAAGCCATCATTTCTCAGATGGTCTGATCTGAAAAAAGAGTATCAGCTACTCTGCTCACGTGTTTAGCTTGATGAAATGCAGCACTTGGCTGAAAACCAGAGCTGCATAATGATTAGAACATAGAGCAAATGTGGTTTGAAGTCTCACTCATCCATGTTAATATTTGATCCAGCCAAAGGAAGGATAACTACTGACTCATTATCTACATCTACTGCCTGCTTGGCCACAGATGCAATTCTGCTGTGAGAGATGAACTATGTAGCTTTTGTCCTAACAGAAGAATCCTGGGTGGTCACAGTTTCTCTTTTGGCAAATATTACCTAGGATAGTCATTTTTTTTTTACCCTCAGAAGAATCTTATGAAGAAGGAAAGTGTCTGCGTAGTGTTCTGTATTACATATGCAATATATAAAAAAAGGATCTGATCTGTTAGAAACAAAAGAAAAAAGTTCCATTACACAATGCAGTTACCTGTCATATCGCAGTAAACTTTCAAAGGTCCCAGTGCACCACTGCCATCTGGATCTATCCAGTAAGAACCTGTTGTTTTGCCCAAATGTTTATATGCTTCACAGGAGAGTTCATAAATAGCTGAAACAAACAAAACCAGTAACTCAAGTAAATAACCTACCCAGAGATCCAGGAAAAGTACATTCTTAGGAAAAGTTATAATATTGTAAGAGAAATGGTGAAAGAAACATTGTAAAACTCCATTGCTTGCACTGGAAAATTGACATCATGCACTTCCTGTTAAGCGGCATCTGAGCAGGAAATATAGGTTCAATTGCTAAATAGAGATGATCTGATGGGATCATGCAGATATGGAGCTGATCCAGGAGAGAAGCAAATACTATATGATCAGGTGCTCATAATTGCATGCTTACTTGTGGTTTGCAAATAGCTATTTAACTGTTGGTTCCATTTCTATTCCATCACAATCCAAGGCACTTTTGGCAGCTTCTATGACATAGTGTGATGGAATGTCTAACAAACTCTGGGAAAACAGAAGAGGAAAAAGGAGCATTACAAAAATACCCCTCAGCCCAGGAGAGGTAGGGAGCATGAGGAAGAGACTCAGAACAACTCCATCTTAATTACGCTAGTTATAAGTTGAGCAGGATAATTGTTTTGAGAGGCTCTCAAGGTTCTATTACATTACCCTACTAGCAATAATGTTCTTTCCAGAAATCCAAGGGGTTCTTGGTTCCTGAGTTTGCCAGCCTTGCAGTGCTTAGCATCAAACTTGGGCTAAGGTCCTTTTTCTTCCTGTTAAACACTCCATCACACATAGAAATAAAACATCTGCACTACATCTTAAAATACAGTATAAATAACCTTCCCCCCTCGAAAGTCCAAGTAAACCAAGACAAAAATGACAGTAAGAAATAACAATAAGATAAAAACATGGCTAAACCTCCCTAGCTAGCTAAAATACTCTCTGGAACAGTTTGGTTTTCAGCATCCTCCTGAATGCCATCGAAGAGGAATGCCAGGCAGAAGCATTAAAATACAATGCTTCCTGGGTTCAGCTCCCTTCACTTCCCAGAAGTGGGGAACTAAAAGCATGTTCACCCTGCATGATCTAACAGGTTGGGGTGAGGGTTCTGCAAGGTACTCAGGCGATGGACTTATAAACTTATAAAAAACCAGCACTTTAAGTTGTACCCAGAACTAGTTGGGAGCCAGTGCAAGACATACTGTATAGCACAGGTATAATGTGTTTGCAGCATCAAGCGCCAGTTAGCAAATGGACCACTGCATTCTGGATTGATTATAGTTTCCAGGTAGCACCAAAGAACCACAGAATCATAGGAATGGAAGAGACCTTGGAGGTTTTCTAGTCTAACCCCCTCTCTGGGGCAGGAATGATTCCAGACAAATGGCAATCTAGCTTTGCTTGAAAACCTCGTGCCTCCAGAAGGCAGGCTGTTCTACTGCTCAATAGCAGGAAATTCCTCCTTATTTTGACTTTTTGATCTTCTTCTGTAAAACTTCCACCTGTTGTTTCTTGTCCTACCCGCAGGTGCTATGAAAGATAAATCCATACCCTCTTCCCTGTAAGTAGCTGTCCAAGCATTGGAAGTCTCCTATTATATGCCCTGAAACTGCGCATGTTTAGCCTAAAGAAGAGAAGGCTGACAGCAGTGGCCTTTAAAGGCAGCTCTGTGTACAGCACATTGCATTAGTCTAACAACATGGTAGTGGAAGTGTAAGTTACTGTAGTTAGGTCCCGTGGTCACAATTGGTGCATCAACCAGAGCTAGAAAATGTCCTTCTAACTGTAAGTGTCTAGCTACTGCTTCAGCAGGAATTGTGAGTCTAAATATCCAATAGAGTATAGGAATTCTACATTATACCACTGTTCTAAAAAACCAGATAGTACAGATGTGGATTGTTTTTAACTACATAAATTACCTCTGTACTCTCCTGAGGATGCTGAGATTAATGGCAAACAATAATATAAAAATAATTAAAGATGAAATAATGCTGACATCAGTATTGTTGGTAAATATTCACATTTACGTTTTAGCCATATTGTTATGATCAAATAGTGTTTAGTGCAGTAAAGTTAAGAAAATACTTTTTAAATCAGTGCTCCTATAATTTATCAAACTAATAAGTCTGAGATATTTCCGTACATGTTCCCTAGAGTGAAAATAACATAATCAGAGCTTTACGCTTTCCAATCATACAGGGTAACATAACTGAATTCATTTGAAAATAGAGGTTAATGGGGACTTCCGGGGGAGATATGGTCAATTGAAGACGTCTCTGCGAAAGCGGAGCTGATGACCACAGCAAAGAACAGGTGGGCAGACTGGTTCTTCAGAACCCCTCTGGTCAAGAAGAGGACAGGAGATCAACCACAAGTGCTCTGGACAGCTGCTTCTTGTGAGGAGACAGCAGGACAGCAGTCTTCCATGGGTTTGAGCACCAGGAGATGAAGGGATTAGCCATCTTGCTCACAACTGTGGTAAAGCCTTTTAGATGACACTATGTTTGCAAGCCTTACTTTCTAATCACTTTCAGAAATTGCTTATTAACCACCTAAAAGCCATTAGACAGCTTTGGAATGACAAGCTTAGACTCTGAACAACAATAACAACAACAACAAATAATTATTATAAGCTTAAGAACCTAAAGAATTTGAAACAAATAGCAAAAAGCTAAATAAGATTTTAATCTAAGAAAGTTGTAAATGGATTAAGGGTCCATATAAATTTGGAATTAATTTAAAGGGGACTAAATATTCTAAGTAGAAGGGAAAAAAATACAAGCCTGCTTTTGATGTCAGTTAGTACTGGGACTTACAAAATGACAGAAGACATCATAACATTGGAAATATTAAAGGAGATCTTTGAAGAATGGAGCCAGAAATAGTAGCTACAGTATCAACAGTGTCAGTAATGACGTCTGATTCTATGGATACACTTTGTCCAAAAGATATTAATGTGGCAGTGACAGATGTGGAGCAAATTTTGTCTGACAAGACAGAGAAAGTAGAACTACAAATGACAGGCCAAGAGAATGATTTGGAAAAGGACGCTTCATTGGATATATAAATTAAATTAGCTGAAGTTTTAAAAATTAAAGGGGAAATATAAATGACAAACCAAAAGAATGACCTGGAAAATGTTTTCTTATTGGATCTTAATAATCCTTGAAGAAGTCTGTGCAATAAGATAAAGAAGAATTGAAGAGAAATCAAATCCTATGGCAATATTTGAATGAACTAAAGATTTAGACTGTTAGAAATAAAATGAAATAATATAAAGTTGGTTTACTTGATCAAGGTTAAAACAAGACATTTTTTTTTGCAAAATTCTGGCAAACCCTGGACTTTTTGCTGACACCAGGATGAAAAACCTGATGTTTTATGGATTTGTTTATAGATAAGGGATGGGATATGGGATGAAGAGATATATGTAACCTTATAGGGGGTGAAGAGTTATTAAATTTGTCTATACTTGTTGTAATGAAGGTTGGAAGTCACTTCTTTATATATTTCTTTTTTCTTTATTATATTCTTTCTTTCTTTTTTCTTTCTTTTTCTTTTCTCTTGCACGTTTTATTCTTTCTATTCTCTTTTCTTTCTTTTACTGTAGCTTACATTAGGTTTTACTATTGTAATCAAAATCCTTAATAAAAATTATATACATAGAAAATAGAGTTTAATGGGGTTGCAGAAGGTAACTGTTACTGTGATAGATCTGGCAGCTGAGCATTTTCTTTTTCCCACTCTATGATAGGGCAGAAATTTTCAGTAGCAGAATGATACACTGTTGAAGTTATTTCTAGGTGGACAAGATGGTGATCAGATAGAGCACTCAGCCACTGAAGAAAGCTTCCATCTAGCAAGAAAAAGAAATGTTTCCTAGACAATGTGGTTCAATGAAATTAAGGCACTTCTGAAATAAGTGATTACTTTCACATTACTAAATCTGTAATTTAAATGCAATTTTAAAATCATGATTTATTTCACAATATAATAGGAGTAGGCAACACTGCTAAGCAACCAAAACACAATGTAGCTCTTTTTTTGCCCACCAAAAAGTTTTTGCCTGCCAGTGAGCATTGCCTGTGTGAATTTATCTGTCTTTGGGAACACCTTTTAGGACAACTTGTAGATTTTACCACTAGCAGTGAGCAACAAATGAGCAAGGAGTTTATGTATAATATAGCTCTCAAATAGAGAACATATCAGATATTAAATTGATCAAAACAGATACCACACTTGATCTTAGCCAAAATGCTGAGAAGCGATATAACTATTTCACTTAAAATGATCAAGTATTTGATATTTTGGAAACTTTTCCTGGGGAACTTCAGTGAGAACTGGAGATAGTTTGAAGTCTGGATTTAGTCTGTGCAAACTATGTTCTATACAAGTGTGACAAATATCTTCAAATATTGTTTTTAGTCATAAAATAAACAATAAAAAAAGAGAAATGCATGCATGCATTCATGTTCCTTGCCTATAAAACATTGGATGTATTATTTCATAATTATTTAATAATTCCCTCTCCACAGGGAATACTGAGAAATGTGGCTCCCAAAAGACTAGACAGTCTAAGGATTTATAATTACTATGAGGAAACTTATATTGATCTAGTCATCTTTAATTTTAATGTCTGCTGAAATAAACTGACCCATAATATATTTAGGTAATTTTATCATTATTCTGCCTCAGCAAACGAAAATGTTTACCAAAGAATTGGGTTAAGTGTGATTCTTGTATATATATTTATGATGGTTATCACTGAAATCTTGGCAATGCTGAAATAACAATGAAAAATAAAGTAAATCATTTTTATTAATGTCTCAAGGGAAATTATTTTCAAAGAAGACTCACTGGATTTTATAGTGATATTTCTTTATGCATTCTTATAATTAAATTTTTTTTTTTAAAAAACCTCAAAAGTCACTTTAAAAAATTAAGTATATAAAATGAACAGCAACATATAATCAGATGCTTCCTTATATATAAAGCATAGCATAATGGTGCCAAGCAACATCCTTTCAGTGTTTCAGATCCACAAAGAAATGGGCACAACTGATATCAAAGGGCATATTTCAAGTTGAGGAGCAAT